TTATTATTATTATTATTATTATTTCCCTGATGACTAAGGTGGTTACCTTCTTGAGTTTATATATGTTTTGGATATTAGCCTTCTATCAGATGTGGGATTAGTGAAGATTTTTCCCCAATCTGTAGGTTGCCAGTTTGCCCTATTGACTATGTCCTTTGCCTTCCAGAAGCTTTCTAGTTTCATGAGGTCCCATTTATCAATTCTTAATCTTAGATCCTGATCCACTGGAAATTTCCACTGTTTAGGAAATTTCTCTCTGTGCCAAGAAGTTCAAGGCTCTTTCCCACTTTCTCTTCTATTAGCTTCAGTGTCTCTGGTTTTATGTTGAGGTCCTTGATCCATTTGGACTTGAGCTTTGTGCAAGGAGATAAGAATGGATCTATTTTCATTTCTCTATGTACAGACAGCTAGTTAGACCAGCACCTCTCATTAAAGATACTTTTTTCCCACTGTATTTTTTGGCTGCTTTATCAAAGATCACTTGTGCATAAGTGTGTGGTTTTATTTCTGGGTCTTCAACTCTGCTTGTATATGTGCACGAGTTTGACTGTGGGCATATGTGTTCCATGCCTTGAGTTTGGAGTTAGGACAACATCAGATGTCTGTCCTCATATCCCATTTTACTTGAGAGAGTCATTTGGTTTCTTGATACTATTGTGAGATTCTGTGAGACTCTTCTTCCTGTGTCTCCCATCTCATCATTAAGACCACTAGGAATATAGATGTTCTTGGTAGTGCCTAATAATCATCTAAATGTAAATATGTAAATATTAAAGCATACTATAGCCTTCTGTTTTTTTCCCAAGAGCTACTATCATTAGATCATTTGGAAAAAATCTTTCAAACTTTTTAAACAAATATAATTATTTTTCATTAGTAATATATTTATATTGAGATCTATTATGTTATATATGTATGGAATAATGTAATTCTTGAGAAATTTACATGTAAGTTTAAAGAGGTATAGACATGTATTCACGTTGTTTGCTCTTGTTTTTAACATTGCTTTCTTTGGTTTGGTTTTGATTTGATTTGTCTTACTTTATAAGGTTTTAAAATTTTATGTGTTATAGCACTCCTCTCCTGTTTAACCTTGTGGCCTGAAATCCAGGATAGCTTCTGTGTTTTACTACTAAAGAATATATTTCACATACCTACTTAGTAAATTCAGCCTAGGATACTTTGAATCACAATCATAAGACATTCAGCCTAAAACAACTATTCCTTCTTCATCTTATATGTATGAGTTGAGAGCAGATTATATGTCTGGTACAAAGCTAAAGTGAGCAGAAATGAATCAGAGCATTAAGACAGGAAACAATCAAGAAGAAAAGATGGGTTGTCATCTAATTCATTCACCAGCAAAAACATTAGAAAATGCTTTATCATATTTCCCTATAATCTCTCTTCTCTGTTTCTTTCAGAAAGTAAATGAAAAGATAATGAGCTAAGAAGACAATGTCCTTAGAAGATTATGACATAGGAGCTATGTAGTTATACCTTTATCTTCACTCTATCAATAAAATATCGAGCATGCGACTTCTGACTGCTGCCTCTCTCTTGGGGTAGGGGTGAATCTGGAATTTTAAGGCCTTGGACACAGTATAAGGACTCTATCTCCAGCTTCCTGTTCATGCTTTATGTTAACAGGCCAGCTGCTACGTGAAAAAAAATTAGCAAACAAAATATTTAAAAAAAGAAAATGTTTTGTAAATTTTTAACTGATTTATTTAACAAAAGTAAAAAGTGTTAATTAAAAACTGAGAAAATTTTAGAAGCAGAGACTTTTTAAAATTTTCAAAATAGTTTATGACATTTCCTCAAGATGTTCATGAGTTTCATCCACAGGATTTTTAAGATTCCACTATAGTCTTTTCTTCTTTCTTCATGTTTGCAAAATTGTCTCTATTATACAACAACCACTTCTAATATCCAAGAATATCATAAGAAATGACATATTAACAGCAAAGGTTTGAAGAAGGTTTTTCTATCACTTGGCAGCAAGCTGAGGAAACTATAAATAAATGTCCTACTTGTTCTTTGTATAACTATTACCTGCAAGAAATAACCCTAAAAGTACCCAAAGAAATAGAATTTGGTATATGGTTATGTTTCATATTGTTGCATTTGGAAGATTGAAGTATGTGCACCATTCCATAGATACATATTCATGATTTCAATAGGCAACTGCTACTTTAAGTTCTGAAAAAGCTGATTCTGCAATTATACACTTATTAGAAGTTATGCCTAGATATAAATTCTTGCTTAGGCTGCGAGGCTAAGCACTGCAAGGGAGTATAAATAAAAGATAAAAGTATCTATCTGGGTTCCCTGATGGAGAAGCCTGACTGCCTAGGGGTTGATGTCAAAAGTATCCCCTCTCCAGGAAACAGACATCGGGAGGGGTATGGCCCTCATGCATCACTGGACAACGACAGGGGGACTGGAGCCATTACAAGGTCCCCTTCAAATACTGGAGGTCAGGCCTCTATCCCCACCTTTCCAAGTTTAGAACTGCCACAGCCCTTCTATACTTAGAGAAGGGAGGAGATGTCAGGGGCAGCCCTGCTTACACACTGAAGTCCTAAAATCAGCCATAGGCCTAAAATTAGCAATAGGCCTGTCATACATGTATACTAACACCAAGTCTTGGGTCTCAGTGGAAAAACATTGAAACAGCTGGCTATAAGCTAATGGAAACAGGCAGGTTTTGTGGAAATTTACAAGCCTGAGTAGTCATAGACCTTGTCAATAGGTAGCCTTGGCAGACAATGCCAACTTAGATAAGGACAAGCGAGTCATAGGCAGAGTCATAGTGACTTGTCCCCTGAACCTTCTTCACCCAGCCGATACCCACTTCTGAAGATATCTGTATTCCCCCTGAACACCCACACTCCAGAGTCATCCCCTTCCCCACATCCTGCCTTTCTGTGTTTATAACCCCTGTGTGAATGAATTACGATTTGAGAAAAAACAAATAATAATAAAAAAGAACACTAAGAAAGTGAAAAAAAAAAAGAAGAAGTTATGCCTATTATGGGGATACCTGTTCAAGTTAAGACAGACAATGCTTCAGCATAGGTCTTTAGTAAAATGAGACAGTTTTGTTAAATATTATAACATAAAGCACACTACAGGTATATCACAAAATCCTACGGGATAAGCTCTTATAAGAAGATCTAATGAACTTCAAAAGATATTCTTAGTAAACAGAAAGGGGTAATAAATACCCACAGAGGTAGATTACATAGTGCTTTATTAACTTTAATTTTAAATGCTAATGATAAAACAACAATAGCTGAGGAGAGTCATTGGATAGAGAAAAAAACTGAACAATAAAAACAACCTGTATATTTTAAATATAGGTTGATCTCAGAATTGAAACCTGGATACATGTTATATTGGAGAAGAAATTTTTGTCTTTGTTTTCACAGAAGAAAATCTGTGAATACCAACAAAATTGAAACAGACTATATTAAGACAAAAGAGATCTCTTGAATAAGGAGAGTCAAAAATTCATCAGACAGCTTGGTCATTCAGTCCAAACTTCCTTATAAAGACTAGCAAATGTCTTTCATTGATCAGAGATGCAAAATTAAAAAAATAACATTTTAATGATAATTTAATAAAGGCATATTTACCTTACTGGCATGAAATGAAAAATGAGTTTTCTTAAACCATGTGTCTTAATTACATGTTTAAATGTTAGACTGTATATTGCCATGAGGTCAATATGTACCCCTCTTGGATTTCAGAGTTTATGTTTTCTTCTTAAATAAAAAGGAGATTTTTAAAGTTCTGTATTAAAAACACAGTTAAGACATTTTAAATGTTTTAAATGACTTGCTTTCTTAATCTCTAAGAGTTGGAATGATTTGGAACTATGATAAATATTTGATCAAGGTGCTAATAGCTCATGTTTTTATTCCCAGCAGAGATAGGGAGAGTTAGGGTTTTTTGTTTGTTTGTTTGGTTGGTTGCTTGGCTTTTTTTTTTAATTCTAGAGTTACAGAGAAAAGGGGGGTGATGGTGCATGTCTTTAACATAACTACCCAGGGACAGAACTCAGATACAGCTCCTAATTCATATGTTTGCACATGGAAGAAATTATAAACCATATTTTACAAATTATTATATAAACCCTCTACAGAGTCTCTAAAAAAGCAGCCAATTTCTGATGAGGATAAGAACAAAGAGCAGCCTTTGTGACTGCCAGTAAGCTCATCTCTGACCAATGACCAATGATCAATGATCAATGACATCTTAATTATGGATATCATATTCATTGATGAATTAGCAACTGGGGACTCTTTATAAAGGAAAAACTTGTCCACCAGCATTTACTTGTAGGCTTCAATCACAAATGCTTTCCAAATATGAAGAATAAATATCCTCTCTTTGAGATATGAATCTGAACATTTAATGAGTCATGGAGAATGTTTAACTCAACCATTGCAAGGCACATTACGGTCATAAGGGTGCTCCTTATAATGATGAATTGGATCTGTTTAAAGGCAGAGTCTTTTACAGGCTTAGCCATGGAAGGAAAGGTATTACAGTGGAACTGGTACTTATCTGAATTCCTAAGTGATCAGGATGTTGTAGCAAAGGAGTCTGTGCACTCAGCTGACTATAATCCCATCTCTAACCTACTCATTCCTCTCCTCAGAAGCAGCACCCATAGAACTGTGAGGATCAAGTAAATGGTTACAATACTTGGTTCATGCATGGTTTACTGAGGTTTCATCAAGCACTGATAAAACCAAAACTAATAGAAAGTAGCAACCTATAGACCATGGAATGGAATGGCCAATACTGAGGAAGGAACCATAAAAATCATTATAGTACTATTGGATATAAGCTACCTTGTTTGGCCTCAGTGGGAGAGGATGCCCCTAGTCCTGCAGAGACTTGATACACAAGGGTGCAGGAGAAACACAGGGGGTACTCACACTCTGAGTGGAGGAGGCAGGCGAGGCAGGATACAAAGAGGGACTAGAAAAGGGGGCACCGATTGTGATGTAAAATAAATAAATAAATAAATAAATAAAATGACATGGACAAACAACTAGGACAACAAAAGAAAAATATTCTCTCCAATTCAAGGTATAAACAATGGTATAGGTATTTTTTCTTCAAAATAGAATATCATTAACTGGTAGGTAAATGGAAAAAAATATCTGGTCATGCATGATTGGAAATGGCAGAACCTAGCTAAACTTAGCAAAGACATCAAATTTTATGTAGCTCTTATATGCAAGACAGACAAAATGTCTGAAATAATGAAAGGGTACACAAATTGTCATTGTGTCTAATTAAGACGAGAATATTAAAATTTGCTAGGGAAAATAATCACAATGAATCAGGAATAATGATAGATTATAAATTAAAAAAAAACTTGAACATTTAATAAATTAAAAAAAAAACTTGAACATTTACTTCTAACACTACGAAATAAGGGGGAACGGAGAATCAAATTAAACCAGGACAATTCTATGAGGTAAAACTATTGTAAGAAATCCATAGCCAGGTGGACATCAGACCTTTAATTCCAGCTCTTGGGAGGAACAGGCCTTTAATCCT